CACTCGGTCGTGGTCTATTCCGAAAACCATGGAAGAATTTGAAGTGACAGCTTACATGGTAAGACAAGCAAGGAAGCTAGGTGCTGAAAAGGAATACTGGGAACGCCAAATGAAAAGAAAGGGAAAGTCATTTCTGAAGATTTAAAACAAAGAGTTGTTGCGTTCTTATTGTGATGATGAGTACAGTCGTCAATGCCAGGAAAAAAAGACACAGTCAGCATCAGAAGAAATGTCCTGTCCAGAAAAGGCTTCTTTTGTGTAACCTTAAAGAGCTGTATTCTCTCTTAAAGTCCAAAATCCTGAAGTGAAGATCGGCTTCTCAAAGTTTTGTAGTTTACGCCCAAATGGTGTGTATTGGTTGGTCGATCTGGCACACATTCTGTTTGTGTTTGTACAATTCATCAAAAATGTTGAACTTATGTTGGCTTCTGTCAAGTTAAGCAAGATCGTCACCAGCTTATGGATATGCTAGTTTGCAACAGAGATTCGAAGCAGTGTAATGGTACATCGCTGTAAGAGCTGTTCCATTGAGTTGAAACGGATGATTTGCTCTTCAATGTTATCTTCATCTTCTTCTCATACTGTCATTTGTGTGTTTCAAATTGCTGTGCAAGCAAATACTCTTCCAGATTTTCGCATAGGTGGACAGCTTCTAAGCGATGTACATACACTGCTTCGAATCTCTGTTGCAAACTAAGCATATCCATAAGCTGGTGCGATCTTTGCTTAACTTGACAGAAGCCACAATAAGTTTCAACATTTTTGATGAATTGTACAAACACAAACAGAATGTGTGCCAGATCGACCAACCAATACACACCATTTTTGGCCGTAAACTACAAAACTTTGAGAAGCCGATCTTCACTTCAGGATTTTGGACTTTAAAGAGAGAATACAGCTCTTTAAGGTTACACAAAAGAAGCCTTTTCTGGACAGGACATTTCTTCTGATGCTGACTGTGTCTTTTTTTCCTGGCATTTGACGACTGTACTCATCATCACAATAGACGCAACAACTCTTTGTTCTTGTTTTAAATCTTCAGAAATGACTTTCCCTTTCTTTTCATTTGGCGTTCCCAGTATTCCTTTTTCAGCACCTAGCTTCCTTGCTTGTCTTACCATGTAAGCTGTCACTTCAAATTCTTCCATGGTTTTCGGAATAGACCACGACCGAGGTGCAAGTGTTAAAATTTGCAGTCTTTGTCCTCTGTTTGAGACTTTGAGTTTCTCTTTCATCAATGCCACAAGGATATCCAGATCATCTGCTTTCTTCTTTACTTCATCATAGTTGTCTGGTATTGATGGTTCTGAGATCTGGATTGACTCAGTTGTCACATTCATAGCTTCCGATATTTGTTTCTGGATAACTTTCTTCTGTTCTTGCAGTCTGCTTTCAATTTGTGTAAGCTTGCGCTTTCCATACGCAGGCCTAGAGTGAGATGCAACTCCGTGAAGTTTTATGGGGCTAACATCCATCTCTTCCAAGCTAGAATTGAGTTTTCCTCGCACCTCATCTCTGTGAAGCTCTTCTAGCAACTCAGTTTCTTTGGTTTCTTGGAGGATCCCATCGTACAATTCAGGCTGCAGTGTCTCCCCCTCATTAACATTTGCCAGTTTTTTTGAAACCTCACTACGACATGTTGGGCAAAGCTTCCAACCTGGCACCACTTCAACATTAACCTGCTGCAATTCCTTAGCCAATGCTTGTGTTATTTCCCGTAAACATCCTTTAACTGCCTTTTTATGTCTTACAAATGGGTCACAACAACTCCTTTGCAATGAAGTGAACTGCTTTAAGAGAGTTTGCTCATGATGAAAGCATATTGTCATTCCTTTGCCTGGTACGACTCCTGATCTCACTGAAACCAAATCCTTTTCTTCATCGTTTAGAAGTTCAAGGGGTTTTAATCCAGCTACCTTTGTATAAGTAAGTAGGTGGCACTTCTCTTCAAGATTTTTTCCAATGAAACATCTTTCAAGGTTGTCATTTGAAGACATTACCTTAACCTTCTTCTTATTACTCAAAAATTTTAGTTAAACTGGTTTCTTGTTCACCTTTTATATTCTGTCCTTATTGAGCAATTTTCTTCCATGAAGTTTTAAACAAAAGTTAATGACCTTTCAAAGTATTTTTCTTCTGAATCTAAGGAAAGTGTGGCTATTTCTCAATTTCAACTCATTCAATTTATTCAATCCATTCTTCAATAGAAAGTTTTATTGTCTAGGGATAATACATGGACAATAATTTTTAATTGCTTTAACAACACCTTCATTTAGCATGCACTAAGGATTTCACACATGTCTATTCATACACTGAAATTATTTATTCAGAAAACTGACATCACAATAAACTCATTGTGCACATCTAACTTCTGCACATAAAGAAAAGAAATGGTTTGACACATTAGCATTGAAATGTGTTGCAACCTTTAGCTCATTGATTCAAGAATAGCTAGAGATCACATACAGTTTAGGTCAGAATTTTCTTTACTATTCATGTTTTTGAAACCTAGTTTTCAAAAATTTTCCCTCTTTTTCCAAGGTAGCTAGCTCTATACTGAGATGAGACACCAACATCATCCTTACGTTTTTATACAGTGTAAGGCATGATGATTCACCATGCCAAAACTCATTTTGGTAACACTAATCAGAAATAGAGAAAAATTTACTCAAGCTTTTTAACTTTTTGCATTTTCGTTATTCACATATTTTTGGAATGTCATAATCTGATATCAATTAGAAGGTATTCCTTAAGTCAAATGATGGTTCTGATTGATTTTTTGAAATCCTCATACCTTAAAATACCAGAATCCAAATTTTCAAATCTGTAGGTACAAAGAAACTTACGCTTTGGTAAAAATATTTCTAAATTTTTCATGACCGCAAATTCAAAATGGCGGATTTAAGGGTTTTTTGGGGTATTTTTAGCAAAATTGAAACACTTATAGCTCTAAAACCGTATAACTTATAAGCATCAAATTTGGAGACTGGAATAACCTTGCCAGGAATAGTGTTTTGTTAGATTTTGAGCCAAATCTAAGAGGTATGGTGTCATTCCAATATTTTGCCTGCTGAATTGACATGGAATGACCCGATAGCGATTCTCTGACAGAAATAAAAAAATAGTTTCCTATAGTCTCAAATCAACAACACTTGACACTAACAAGATTTGAACAGAACCAAAATTAAATCACAGCCTAGCATTCATTAGTGTGATTTTAATATAACATTAGTACAAACTAGCATTCATTCAAAACTGTCATTTTGATGTTCAAGTACTTGAAGGCTTGTTCTTTCTGAGTTTTTTGTCACAGGAACATACATGTATTTTATTAAGCGAACTAATAAATTCAGCTAGTAAACCACAGCTGTTCCTAAGTAACTTAAAGCTATTTAGTGTCAAGTTTGCACCAAACAAACGCCACCATCTGTTTTCCATCTATCTCCTCCATTTTTAGTAGAGAATGCGGGAAGATAACCAAGCCGAGCGAGGCTCGAACTCACAACCCCTGACTCTGTACGTCAAGTGCTGAGTTATCAGGTCATTGTTAGGATGGAGAGAAAGTGACATAGGCAACAGGATTTTAGAAGATAGTTAACTAGTTTGTTCAGTTAACTAGAAGATAAGTTTGTTTTCCACGTGACTTGTTAAGTAGTTAACCAGTTTACAGGAGCAGATGACTTCCTGAGAGATTGAAAGGTGATTAACAAAGGGGATCAAGTTCCTATCAATTTTTTAGCTTTACTTCAAGATGTGTCAAGAACTAAAAGGAAGACCATGCGGGCGGTTAACATGCGAACTGACATTGAGGCGAGCAATAGCTTGCCTTGCTAACCCGAGGCCAGCATGGAAACACGCGTGGGTGTTCATTTGCCTCAAACAGCCAGGTTTGAACATGACATGGCAGGGGAGACAAGATAGTTTATAGAAGATGCTTTCTTATTGCAGTTATTGGTTCTTAAGACAAAAACGCCCTGAGCTGCAGTACAAGTAGATTATTTGTGTAGTCATTAAGTTTTATAAATTTATATGCGCACTATAGGCAGAGTGGATACCACCAATAATTAATTGCAGGGACTCATAGCATCATCTATTTGATAAACGTATTATGTAAAACCAAGATACGCAAAAACTGATTTTGTCTTGGTAAAACGATGACTGTTAAAAAATAATCATATTTTTATTACTTCATTCAGGATTGAGAAGGTAGAAACTTTCATAAAAAAGCTGCAGCTTTCAGGGGTTTACCCCTTGGATGTTGCCTGCTGACGACACCCAACGCCAAATACCAGCCTTGACGCTACGCCACTGGAAGGACTGCGCCCCAGGACCCAGGAAAGGTTTGAAGGGTTACGCCAGTGTTTCCACTTTTAAGGAATTTTCCTGAGATCAAGGATTTTTTGATTTGAAATTTTGCAAAGAAAAATAGCAGCAAAATATATTAGCAGAAATTTCGGAATACGTGGCTAGAGGATCCCCTTTTCAAGTTTTATAATTTATGATGATTTTTTGACTGTTTCAACACCTTAGCATTCAAATGGCCAATTAAAGCAAAAAATGAATAAATTATTCATTAATCGTTCAAAATTTGTAGATGCATACTAACTGTTAGTCATGGCATGACCAATCTTTGGGATAAAACTAACAAGGAAATATTCAAAGAAAATAGAATTCCGGTTTAAGGAATTTAAACAAATTTCAGCCTCGCTTTAAGGAAATTTAAATTTGAATAGTGGAAGCACTGGGTTACGCCTTGTCTGGTGATGGTAGCATCCCTTTCAGACTAAATGACCTTTCGGTGTAAGGTGTTTCACAAGTTAAATCATCAGTTCTTTAAAACAATTTGACGAGAGTAGAGCTTTTACAAAATTATGGTGCGGGTGTGTCGGGATTCCGTGATGGCGCCAAAAGGCTAAGCTAAGGCCTAATTGATAAAAGACCAAGCCTCAAGGCGAATAGGGTGATCATCGAAGCTTCAGAAAATGTCAATTAATACTTACCCATTTGAATTGAGGAAAACAGAGTCAGGGCACATGGCCCGACAACGTCTTCTACGTTTATGTGGGTCATCTTCTATTCGAGTGTCGTAAACCAACTTTAGACTTGGATTGGAACTCTCCTTGTTTATGGAACACGATTCCGAGGCTGGTAGCCTCTTATGAGCGTTTACTGCCAGTGGTCTTTCTTTTCGCTGTTTTAAAAATCTTGCCAAGATGGTGGGTTGTCACAGGATCTATATTTCATCTTATGATATCTCTTGACATCGAAGCGCTTTTGCCAATTTTTCTTTTTCCATTCAAAATCTTTGCTTAGAATGATAAACCAGTTGGCTAGTTTCAAAAATAGAGACTGGAATATATCTTTTCATTGGAATATTAGGCCAACACAAATGCACTATTACTATAATGCACTATTTTGATATATTTTAACTTAAAGATGTACATTAGTATTATTTCCTATCTTCAACCACTTTTGTATTTCTGCTGCTAATTTTTTCCTGTATTTCTGTCCAAATAAATCTGTATCCTTATAATCAAACCACTCATGCTGCTTACTTAGCCATTAATATCCAAGTTTTAAGCTCTTGTCTCGAAAGCTTGTTATCATAGACTTTGCTTTTGATGGAAAGGATTCCCCAGTGTTAAGATCCAGATATAGATTTAGGATATGTATAATACAATCTTGTTTAATGCTGTAAATGCAAGTTCTAATCAGAGGTCACTGTGTATGAACACCTAGATATTTGGTTACATGTTTTTTAAACCTTCAATCTTGCATTTCTATTCATTTTAACTAAGAATGCTCTTTATTAGAAGACAGTTGTCTTCTGAGCCTAAAACATTTAGGATTGAATCTTAATTGCAAAGTTTTGTCAGCACAGAGGAGAATGATCAGCACACAACATTGTGTAATTTTAGCTAACAAATGTTTAATGATTTTAGGAGGATCAAGCAAAACTTGCAGAGTTAAAGAAGAAGAGGACATTCAGGAAATTCACCTACAGGGGTGTTGATCTTGATCAACTTTTGGACCTCTCATCAGATCAGCTGATGCAGCTTGTTCATGCAAGAGCCAGAAGGAGATTTTCAAGAGGTCTCAAAAGAAAGCCACTTGCTCTCATGAAAAAGTTGAGAAAAGCAAAGAAGGAAGCTCCAGCACTAGAAAAACCAGCTGTTGTGAAAACACATTTAAGGAACATGATTGTGTTGCCTGATATGATTGGTAGCATTGTTGGTGTCCATAATGGAAAAACATTCAACCAAGTTGAAATCAAGGTATTGCCTAGCCTACTTAGTTATGTCTATATGTTCTTCTTGTTGTGTCATATGGACATTCCTCATCAAACTTCAGAAAATAGTTCTTCTAAGGGAAAAGACCATTTTTTATGTACACTACCAATACAAAGGTTTTGCAACATCAAAGCCAAAATGCCATCCAAAAAAATTAGAAGCTTTGAAAACTTTATAACTTTTTGCTGAAATATTCCCCTCAAAAAAGAAGATAATCATACCAAACCAGGAGTCAAATTCTTTGAAATTTATTGAAGTTTTCAAAAAAAAATTGGAATAACCATATTTATGAAAATGATAATGCAGAAAGGAAAAATTAACTTCAATGGTAAAATCAAAATACTAACAGCATGAAGAGCAAGTAGTTGTGATAAAACTTGGTCTAGGTTTTTTTTATTCAAAAGATTTGAAAACTTTTTATATATACAAAAGAATAGCAAAATAGTGGAAGTTTAGAAAACAACAAATGAAGTGAACAATTTTTTTGCGGTACAGAATTTGAAAATGGCTTTGAAAAAAGCAAACATTTTACAACATACTTAAAGCTTTTTCGTCTGACACTCCTCAGAGCATAAAACGTCAGAATAGGTTCCGAAAAACACGATGGAAAAATATATACCCAGTTGTGGATCGAAATAGGCCAATCAGAAAAACGCAAGCACAAGACCGGTATAGTTGACCAATCAGTGCCGCAAGCCTAAAGAAAAATTACCAATGGAGTCCAAGAGAGAAAACGAACTCCTTTTGTCTACACAATGGCGGCTTTTCGTTTTTATGTAGATTGACTCCCAAAACTCTATAATGACGACATGTTTCGGATAATTGGCAGAGCCCGGTCGTCCTTCCATCTAGCAGTTTGGGAGTCAATCTACATAAAAACGAAAAAGCCGCCATTGTGTAGACAAAAGGAGTTCGTTTTCTCTCTTGGACTCCATTGGTAATTTTTCTTTAGGCTCGCGGCACTGATTGGTCAACTATACCGGTCTTGTGCTTGCGTTTTCTGATTGGCCTATTTCGATCCACAACTGGGTATATATTTTTCCATCGTGTTTTTTCGGAACCTATTCTGACGTTTTATGCTCTGAGGAGTGTCAGACGAAAAAGCTTTAAGTATGTTGTAAAATGTTTGCTTTTTTCAAAGCCATTTTCAAATTCTGTACCGCAAAAAAA